GGAGGAGGAGGAGGAGGAGGAGGAGGACTGTGGGGTCCTTGGTGCTCTCTGAGCTGGGTGGTTTCCTTGTGGACGTTTCACGACCCAACTAGGCAACATCATCAGTGCCAGCAGGGAGAGGCGTTTTACTTTTCCCCTTCAGCACCCCATTTCAGCCCCCTGACTTCGGGGCACAGACTGCGCCAGGGACCGGGTGCCGGCTGGCCCGCTGGGTGTGTTCCCCCCCAAGACAACCCACACAAGCACCTCCCCACCTGGCTCGCGTCACCACGTAGGTCAGCAGGGGCAGGAAGTCGTCCATGGGAAGATTATATTCCTTCCCCAAAAGATGGTTTATCGTTTCCTCGATCTCCTTGTACGTCTTCTGGAGAATGTCCAGCTTTTCCTGGGGGTCCACGGTGGTGCTGCAAGGGAGCAGGGGGTGAACAGAGACACAAAAACTCCCGATTCTATAAAATACCAGGGAAGCCAAAAGTCACTAGTGAGGTGCACAAGGGAGAAATCTTAATGATTTCTCAATAAAAAGGGGGATTTCATTGACTGACGACGGGTTGTTTAATGGCCAATTACAGCTGTGACAGACCCCCCCCAAAAAAGTACTTAAGAATCAGAATTCGAACTTCAGACGCCTGTCCCTCTGGTCATATGATTGCATCTGAGGATGATTGGCAACCAGCCTGCCTTTATTTCCGGTCCCGTGGTCACATGATTGCAATTTATTATTTTTCTGCCAGAAACCAGACAATGGATTCGCTTAACGACTGCAGTATTCGCTTAATGACTGATTCACTGTTGACTTAGCTTGTCGGAAACCAACTGAGAAGATTTGAAATGGCGATCACGTGACCCCCAGGGTGCTGCAACTGTCATAATTGCATGAGCCTAAATTTTGATCACGTGACCCAGATGCTGCTGCTAACGTCGTAAATGTGAGGACCAGTGCTGTTGTGGCTTTGAACAGTCGCCAAAAAAGAATTGTAAGGACTATTTGCACCCTATTCATACAATGAGAGTCCTACTCAGTTTATGAAGGTGGCTAGTAAATATTGATTTAATTATATTTTATTTTATTTATTTACCAGGAACAGCCACACACACAAAATATGAAAAATACATACAGTTACTCCCTGACTTACAACAATTAATTTAGTGAACAAAGTTACTGAGAAAAATAACTTATGTCCATGTTTCACACTTACAACCGTCCCAGCATCCCCATGGTCACGTGATCAAAATTCGGACACCTGCTGACTGGTTCCTATTTATGACCATTGCAGGGTCACGTAATCCCCTTTTGCGACATTCTGACAAACAAAAGTCAATAGGGGAATCCAGATTCAAACCATCGTGTTCCTAACTTAAAAACTGCAGTGATTCACTTAACAACTGTGGCAAGAAAGGTCGTAAAATGGGGCAAAATCCACTTAACCACTGTCCCGCTTGGCAACGTAAATGTTGGGCTCAATTGTGGTCATAAGTCGAGGACTCCCTGTTATTGTGAAGCTAAGATTAGAAGAACTTTTGCTGGCACTTACATCAGCTTCTGCAGACATTCGGTCGCAGAGAGAAAGCACTGATCCTTCACCAGCGACTGTCTCTTTAAAGGAAGAACACAACACGAGGTTGGCACACACACCCCGGGGGGGGGGGGCATTTGAGGACATCCCAATCCAAGGTTTTGGGGCATCCGAAACATCCCGCATCCTGAACAGGGGTCTTTCATTTATGCAAAGACGCGACATCTTCGAACATGCAGGCGTGGGAAGCATGCAGCGTGCACAAACAGGGACTCTAACGTTAGAGACCCCGCGCGAGAACTTACTTGGTTACTGCTGAGGCTGAGGTCTTTCAGGGGCCAGAAGTGTCTGCAAAGAGAAGGTAGCAGATGGGGAGAAGAGGGGGAAAAAACTGAATTGCATTTGGGAGCCCCTGCTCCAAGGAAATTTGGAAGAATTTGCAGGAGGGAGGGAGGGAGGAAGGAAGGAAGGAAGGAAGGAAGGAAGGAAGGAAGGAAGGAAGGAAGGAAGGAAGGGAAACAGTGAGGAAGAAAAGAAGAGAAGGAGGGAGGGAAGAAAGGGTTAGAGGGAGGAAACGAGGGAGGAAGGAAGGAAAAGAGGGAGAGAGAGAGAAAGAGAGGGAGAGGAAGAAAGGAAGGAAGGAAGGAAGGAAGGAAGGAAGGAAGGAAGGAAGGAANGAGGGAAAGAAGGAAGGAAGGAAGAGAAGGAGGGAGGGAAGAAAGGGTTAGAGGGAGGAAACGAGGGAGGAAGGAAGGAAAAGAGGGAGAGAGAGAGAAAGAGAGAGAAAGAAAGAGAGGGAGAGGAAGAAAGGAAGGAAGGAAGGAAGGAAGGAAGGAAGGAAGGAAGGAAGGAAGGAAGGGTATGAGGGAAAGAAGGGTGTGAGGGAAAGAAGGAAGGAAGGAAGAGAAGGAGGGAGGGAAGAAAGGGTAGGTTGAAAAGGAGATAGAGAGACGGAGGAAAAGAGGGAGACGAGAGAGGGAAGGAGGGAAGAAGTAAGAGGTAGGAGAGGAAGGGGGGAAAGGAAGGAAGGAGGAGGGAAAGAAAGGGCAGGAAGAAGGAAGAAAGAACGAAAGGGGGAGGGAGAAAGGAAGGGAAGGGAGGGAGGGAGACAGAGAGAGGGGAAGGAGGAGAGTAAGAGGTAGGAGGAGGAAGGAAGGAAGGAAGGGAGGGAGGAAGGAAGGAAGGAAGGAAGGGAGGGAGGGAGGGAGGAAGGGGCGGGCCTTTCTGAGACCCTCCCACTCACCTCTGCACCTCCAGGTATTCCAGGAGGGTCACGTCAGAGAGACGACTGAGGCTGACGATCCCCTGGCAGTAAATCTCGTCCTGCTTCTCGTGGGCGACCATGTACAACATCAGGAGTTCCGGGTAGACATAAGGGAGGATGAGTGGCAGAAGGACGGAGCCTCCATCCGAGTCCCTAATCCGAGGGAGAACAACAAATCCCATCATTCCACTCCTCTCTTTCATCCCGCAAGAGCAAAGTGCTCACATTCATTGCTACCAAGGTCTGGGTTCAAGTCCAACCTCATCTAAGCAAACTCAGTGGATGGCTCAGGTGGATTAATCAGCCTGGCCTACCTTATAGGGTTGTTATTGTAAAGCAAAAAAAAAAAAAAAACAAGAGGGGAAAATATTGGATACGCCACCTTGATCTCCCAGAGGGAAGGTGAAATCTATAGATAGTCCTCGACTTACAACAGTTCGTTTAGTGACCGTTCAAAGTTGCAACCACTTAGGACTGTTTTTCACAATTACAACCATTGCAGCATCACGTGATCAAAACTCAAGACGCCTGGTAACTGGCATGTACTTTTGACAGTTGCAGTGTCCTGGGGTCATGTGATTCCCTTTTGCGACCTTCTGACAAGCAAAGTCAATGGGGAGCCAGATTCACTTAACGACCGTGTCACTCACTTCACAACTGCACTGAACAACGGTGGTAAGACAAGTTGTAAAATGGGGCAAAGCTCACTTAACAACAGTCTCACTTAGCAACGGAAATTTTGGGCTCCATTGTGGTCATAAGTCAAGGACTACCTATATTTCAAAGAAACAAATACATCGGTGAATCTGTAAGGCTAAAATCACAAAAATATAAGATTTTAACCATTTTTAACAGGGAACAAAACTGAAGCAGTGACCAGCTTATGGTTTGGTGTTAAATGAGCATCATAGAACTGTGGCTTAGGAAACAAACCATGGTTTCAACAAATCAAGAGCTTAACCGACTTCTACACCAGTACCTTTTTTCTGTGTTTTGGGGGGATTTTAATCCTTTCACCTTGAAGGCAAGCTGCAGCAAGGCTCTGAAAGAGAAAAAGAAATCTAAAAGATCTCATTGGAAGACATTTGGAAATTTAAAATTTAAACTCAGAAAAGTCATTCAGAAATTAGGAGATTTAAAAGAGATCCTTAGAGGACTCTAGGAAATTTAAAAGCCTAAAATTTAAACTCAGAAAACACACCTGGAAATTAAGAAATATAAAAGAACTCATTAGAAAACTCTAGGAAATTTGAAATTTAAACTCAAAAATCTAAAATTTAAACTCAGAAAGACACTTTGAAAATTAGGAATTTAAAAAAGATCATTATTAGAAGACGCTAGACATTTTAAAATTTAAACATGGAAATTTAAAATTTAAACACAGAAAAGGTACTTGGAAAGTTAAGAACGTTAAAAGGGATAACTAGGAAGATACTGGAAAATTTAAACATGGGAATTGAACATTTAAACTCAGAAAATTAAGAAATTTAAAAGAGATAATTAGGAAATATTCAGAAATTTAACTTTTAAACTCAGAAAAGGCTTGAAAAATAAGAAATTTAAAAGGGATCATTAATAAATTTTGAATTTAAACTCTGGAACTTTTATATATATATATATATATGTATATGTATATGTATATGTATATATATATATATATATATATATATATATATATATATATATATATAATATTTTATTGAATACAAAGGGAAAAAAATTAAAAAACATTGAACGTGGTGTATCATCTTTGACATACATCTTTGTCTAATCATTCCATACTTTACATATGACTAAATATTACATATACAGCTATACATATCAAGTTCCCTATTTATATCCCTTCTATCGACTTCCTTCTTATTTCCCTCCGCTTGTAAAATGTATTCCAAATTTGGTAATATTCTGTTTCCTCCTGGTTTTTTAATTCCTTAGTCATTTTATCCAATTCAGCGCAATGTAAGATTTGGAACTTATATTTTAAACTCAGAAAACACACTAGGCAATTAAAAATTTAAACTCGGAAACATTTTAAGCTCAGAAAACATACTCGGAAAATTAAGAAGCTTAAACGAGATCATTAGAAAACACTCAGAAACTTGAAAGTTTAAACTTAGAAAGCTAAAATACAACATCAGAAAATTAATACATTTTTAAAAGACCATTAGCAGACACCCAGAAATTTAAACTCAAAATTTTAAAATTTAAACTTGATGGAAACCATGTTTTAGCTCAAAACCTGGATTCCCACTTATAGGTATAAAAAGAGAGAGGAAGGGAAACTAACCAAAACTTGGCAACTTTAAGACTTGTGGACTTCAATTCCCAGAATTCCTCAGCCAGCCAGGGCTGGCTGAGGAATTCTGGGAGTTGAAGTCCAAGTCTTAAAGTTGCCAAGTTTGAAGACTCCTGGATTAGATTAACTCAAAGGGCCCTTTCAGTCTTGTTATTCTGTTACATACGTCAGTGGTTCTCAACCTTTTTAATGCCGCGACCCCAACCGGTCATAAGTCGAGGACTAAACCAGTCGTAAGTCGAGGACTAAACCGGTCGTAAGTCGAGGACTAAACCGGTCGTAAGTCGAGGACTACCCAACCGGTCGTAAGTCGAGGACTTTCCCTTCCCAGGAGCGCCGTGCATGCGTGGTTCCGCCCCTGCGCTGGCCGAGGCGTAGCTGGCAAGCGGTAGAGACGGAGCAGGCCGACCACCAGCTGGCCCAGCCCAAGGGAGGTAAGGCACCCGCCAGAAAAGGGGAAAAAAATGGCGGACAAAAAAAATGGCAGACAGCCTTGCTTGGCGACCCCCATGAAATGGTCGATCGACCCCAAATGGGGTCCCGACCCACAGGTTGAGAACCACTGACATACATAGTCCTTGACTTACGACCACAGCTGAGCCCAAAATTTCTGTTGCTAAGCGAAACGGTTGTGAAATGAGTTTTGCCACCTTCTTGCCACGGTTTCTAAGTAAATCATTGTGGTTGTTAAGTTAATCACACAGTTGTTAAGTGAATCTGGGTTTTCCATTGACTTTGCTTGTCAGAAGGTCGCAAAAATGGATCACGTGACCCCGGGGTGCTGCGACCGTCATAAATATGAATCAGTTGCCAAGCATCTGAATTTTGAGGATGCTGCAACAGTCGTAAGTATGAAAAACAGCCCTAAGTCACTTTTTTCAGTGCTGCTCGAATACTCACTAAACGAACGGTCGTAAATCAAGAACTACTGTCAAAACAATGATATTTCCCCATCTAGCATCTGTTACAAACACAGGAAAATTTTTAGGAGCACAATCCAGGCAAAAGGCAAACGAAAGACGCCAGAGCTGCAAGCCAATGGCCCAAAGCAAAAATTAAATTTATTTGTAGTTGTTTAGCAATGAAGATTTCCGGGAATTGCGCAATGCAAGCTATACTTACTGGTAAAATTCCCATATTTTCTTGGCGTAGTGCTTGACCTCTTCTTGGGCCATTCTCAAGAGATGCTTGTTAGCCCCGATGCCAGAATAAGTGGACTGGAACACCAGAACCAAAGCTTTCAGCAATTTCCCTAAAGGATGTAACGAGGACTCCAGAGCCTGGGAAATCAAATAAACAAACCACTTTAAAATCAAGGTGAATTTCAAACTTGGAAACTAATCAAAGAGACAGAAGCAACCCAGAATGAAGGAGGAATTTCCCGACAGTGAGGACAATTGGTCAGTGGAACAGCTTGCCACCAGAAGTTGTGGGTGCTCCAACCCTGGAAGTTTTTAAGAGAGGTCTGAAATGGTCTGAAATGGTGTAGAATCTTCTGCTTGAACAGGGGGCTGGACTGGATGACCTCCGAGGTCCCTTCTAGCTCTGTCATTCTATGATTCTGTAAGGGTCTCCTGCTCGAGCAGGGGGCTGGACTAGATGACCTCCAAGGTCCCTTCCAAGTCTCTTATTCCATGATTCTGTAAGGGTCTCCTGCTTGAGCAGAGGGCTGGACTAGATGACCTCCAAGGTTCCTTCCTCCATGATTCTGTAAGGATCTCCTGCTTGAGCAGAGGGCTGGACTAGATGACCTCCAAGGTGCCTTCCAAATCTCTTATTCTATGATTCTGTAAGGGTCTCCTGCTTGAGCAGGGGGCTGAACTAGATGGCCTTCAAGGCCCCTTCCAACTCTGTTATTCCCTGATTCTGTAAGGGTCTCCTGCTTGAGCAGAGGGCTGGACTAGAGGACCTCCAAGGTCCCTTCCAAATCTTTTATTCCATGATTCTGTAAGGTCTCCTGCTTGAGCAGAGGACTGGACTAGATGACCTCCAAGGTCCCTTCCTCCATGATTCTGTAAGGGTCTCCTACTTGAGCAGGGGGCTGGACTAGAGGACCTCCAAAGTCCCTTCCAACTCTATTACTAAGTTCAAAAGATTACCCATGCTACACCATACCTGTTGCAAACAATTTCGTCGAGCTTCTGGATCCTGATGCTTTATTAGTTCTTCAAGGAAATCCGTTTTCTCAGACGCTTCTTCGGTTCCTCTGGAGGAGACAGACGGAGGTGAGTAAGACCATCTGCTGCTCCCATGAGAAGCCTCATACTTGCCCTGGTGCTACATACAGGTAGTCCTTGACTTACAGCCATTCATTTAGTGACCGTTCAACGTTACAACAGCAGTGAAAAAAGGGACCTAGGACCATTTTTCACACTTACGACCGCTGTAGCATCCCCAGGGTCATGTGATTTACATTTAGAGGCTTGGCAACTGACTAATATTTATGACGGCTGCCGTGTCCCGGAATCACATGACTCCCTTTTGTGAACCAGCAAAGCCAGATTCGCTTAACGACCATGTGATTAATTTAACAACTGCGGTGATTTACTTAACAACTGCGGCAAGGTAGGTCGTAAAATGGGGCAAAACTAACTGAAGAAATGTCTTAATAAGTTAGCAAATTCTGGGGTCAGTTTTTGTGGTCGTAAGTCATAAGTTGAGGACTACCTCTATATTTCAAGCTTTACCATCAGGGGTGTCCATGAACTTTTCTGCACTGTTACCCCTAAGGGAAAAATACAGGTAGTCCTCAAGCTATGACCACATAAGGGATCAAGAAATGTTATCAATAAGCCAGGTGGTCATTAAGCAAATCATCACGCAACTGTATGTGATTTTATAACCTTTATCTCCAGTCGTTAAGTGAACCACTACGCTGCTTAAGCAAGGCATCACATGACTGAGACTTGTGTCCTTCCCTGACAGCTTGTGTGTCAGAAGCTGGCTGGGAAGGTCACAACTGTGGATCACTTGACCCTGGGGCAGTGTGATCGTCAAAAAGGCAAGCCCGCGGCCAAGTTTCCAGACTGTGATTGTGCAACCAAGCACACACTGCAACATTCATAATAAGTACAAGCACCTTTTCCCAAGTCGCTTTTTTCAGCAGTCATAATTTTAAACGAAAGGTCGTAAGCCCGAGGACTACCAGTATATATATAGCCGCACTAAGTAAGAGATCTCTTAATTTATTTTTTATTTAAAGATGGCGACTCATTCCCCAAGCCTGCCCAATAACCTGGTCCCAAGCCACGTAGGGCTTTGAAGGTGATCACCCCACACCTGGAATTTCACCTGGAAGCACATGAAGCTCGTGACCCGGGTGCGAATCTAGACTGGCCAAAAAAAAAACAAAACCCACTGCATATTGAACCAAGTGAAGCTTCCTGATAGTTTCCAAGGGCAGCCCCACGCAGGCCCTATTGCAGTAGTCAAGAGCTAACCCCCCACATAAGGATGGCGACCCACGGCCCCGATCCTGCTGCTTGGGAACAGCGTCAGTTTCTCGCGAGCTGGATGTTTACCCGTGGCCGAAGAGATTCTCCTGAGATTTCCGCAGCTCGCGACTCGTCTGCACGTGAAACCCCATGAAGGACTCCTCGGCGTCTGCTTGGCCTCCCGCACGGACGAACGCCAGGAACTGGTTGTAGAGGTCTTCCCACCGCTTCTCCACCGGGAAGTCCTCCTGACCCAACTGGCTGGACGAGAAAAACCAACAGTTCACACGTGCAAAGTTCCTTCCCTCCACGGCTCCGAAATCACGTGCGAATGGACATCGGTGCATATTTAACGTGACACGCAGGAAAGAGAAACTTCCTGACAGTGAGAACAATTAACCAGTGGAACAACCTGCCTCCAGAAGCGGTGAATGCTCCAACAGTGGAAGTTATATTTATTCAAGATGGACGGTATTTAATATTTATTTGTTATGTATATGTAAGGGTGTGGGTCTATACATATGTTGTATATAGTATGTTTTAGGTGTGTGTCATGTATGTGTTTCACTTTGAGAGCGGGCAACTAAATTTCATTTTGATGTGTGCCGTTGTGCCCACAGTAAAAAAAATGACAATAAAGATTATCTTATCTTATCTTTTTAAGAAGAGACTGGACAGCCATTTGTCTGAAATGGTGTAGGGTTTCCTGCCTGAGCAAGGGGTTGGACTAGATGACCTCCAAGGTCCCTTCCAACTTTATTATTATTATTATTATTATTATTATTATTATTATTATTATTATTATTATTATTAATTGTTGTTATTGTTATTTTTATTACTATATCTATCGGCTCTGACAATGTAGATCTGTTCATAGGACTCTACAAATAGTCCTTGACTTACAACCGTTCCTTTAGTGACTATTCGTAGTTACGACGACACTGAAAAAAGGGGACTTAGGACATTTTTCAGAACCAGTGCAGCGATACCCATGGGTCACGTGATCAAAATTCATACGCTTGGCAGCTGACTCATATTTATGACGGCCGCAGCGTCCCGAGGTCATGTGATCCCCTTTTGCAACCTCCTGATCAGCAAAGTCAATGGGGGAAGCCAGATTCGCTTAATGACCATGTGAGTAATTTAACAGCTGCAACGATTCGCTGTGTCAAGGAAGGTCGTAATAGGGGGGAAAGCTCATTTAACAAATGTCTCACTTAGCAACAAAAAATTTGGGCTCAATTGTGGTCGTAAATCAAGGACTACCTGCATAAACTCCGTAATTTCCCACAAAGTTGACTAAGGGGAGAGACTGCCTGGTCCACGAAAAGGTGTCCTCAGGATATCGCCAAAGAGTCAAGATGCAGGCCACACTGGGACAACTGAAACATTGACCGTTTTGGATGTGCAGCATTTCCGGGGGACCATCAGGTCACCATCTTTGAAGTAGACCACGAGGACACCCCTGGATCTAGGTGTCCTACTGAGCATCATGGCTGAATAAAGTCTCAAATCCTGATCTAAGGATCTAACCCACATTTCATCCCATTGAAGACTTGTGGACTTCAACTCCCAGAAATCTCCAAACAGAATGCTGGCTAGGGGATTCTGGGAGTTGAAGTCCTCCCCTCTTAAAGTATGCTGGCTGGGGGATTCTGGGAGTTGAAGTCCTCCCCTCTTAAAGTATGCTGGCTGGGGGATTCTGGGAGTTGAAGGCCCCCCCTCTTAAAGCATGCCAGATGGGGGATTCTGGGACTTGAAGTCCTCCTCTCTTAAAGCATGGCTGACTGGGGGATTCTGGGATTTGAAGCCCCCCTTAGAATATGCCAGATGGGGGATTCTGGAAATAGGAATCCACCCCTCTTAAAGCATCCTGTCTGGGGGATTCTGGGAGTTGAAGTCCAGCCCTCTTAAAGCATGCTGACTGGGGGATTCTGGGAGTTGAAGTCCCCCCTCTTAAAGCATGCCAGATGGGGGATTCTGGGACTTGAAGTCCTCCCCTCTTAAAGCATGCTGGCTGGGGGATTCTGGGACTTGAAGCCCCCCCTTAGAATATGCCAGATGGGGGATTCTGGGAATAGGAATCCACCCCTCTTAAAGCATGCTGGCTGGGGGATTCTGGGAATTGAAGCCCATCAAAACATGCTGGCTGGGGGATTCTGGAGGCTGAAATCCACCCATCTTCAATGGGTTGAGCTTGAGAAACGCTGGATCAGATCATCAGACCAGGATCTGGAGACCTGTTTGCGGTGAGGTTGCTCCCGCCGTCCATCAGCAAGGAAATAAGGTCTTTCCTAGCCAAACATTGATGGGAACAAGAATGGAGATTTCAGAAGAGTGGAAAGTCCAGAATCTCAACCGACCGTGGTCTTCTGACTTACATAGCAGATCTGGTGACAGCCTGATGGTCTCCAGAAGTGTTCCCCACCCCAGGAACCCGGAACCCTTCTCTAGATTTGTTGGTGAAGGTGTCCTCCAGAACGAAGCCATTTGGAAACGTTAGTTTTCCCTAAAATTATATGATGGTTTATTTGACACATTTACATAGCCACTCACCTTAAGTACATGTCACTAACAATATTAAACATGATAAAAACAGAGAGACGCAGACAGAATACAGGTAGTTCTCGTCTTATAACCATTCATTGACCAGACAAAATTATAACGGCACTGACTTATGACCGTTTTTCATTCTTACGACCGTTGCAGCATAGTCAAGATTCAGATGCTTGGCAACTGACTCATATTTACGACGGTCAAAGTGTCCTGGGTTTATGTGATCTCCACGTGATTCACTTCACAACTGTGTTACTAACTTTACAACCGCAGTGATTCGCATTTCAGCAGTGGCAAGAATGGCCGTAAAATGGGGCAAAAATGGTCATAAAATGGGGCCATGGCTGTCTTGCTTAGCTAGGGAAATTTGGGGCTAAATTGTGGGTCGTAAGTCAAGGACTTCCTGTAGATACTTCTCGATGTACAACCACAATTGGGACTGAAATCTTGGTCATTAAGTGATGCGGTCATTAAGTGCATCGTCAGAAGACTGGGCCCGTTTTACAACCTCTTTACAGCAAAATCAGGCAGTCCTTAAGCAAGTTCAGCCTTAAATTTTAATAGCATTCTGTCTACCATGAACGTCAGCCAGTTGCCAATCTGCGACCGTCATAGCTTCAAGGGTGGCTTTGTAAGAGCCTTTGTTCAGCAACGTCATAACTCCAAACTGTTGTTAAACAAACAGTCATAAGCTGAGGAGTGCTTGTGAGGCATTTAGCAGCTGGGAAGGGGATTTACAAACAGCAAACATCCAGTATCACTAACACACCCGGTTAATATGAATGTACTAATTATCAATTTATTTTCATCTTAACTATGGTTCCTTGGCAATACTTATATTAATTATTAATAATTATTAACTATTCATAGTTAATTATTAGTCATTTAATCATAACTGTTATTAACTATTCGTTATTAATCACTATTTCCCACATCCATACAAATTTCTTGGCAGCAAAAAAAGAAAATCCATTCATATCCATCTATCTATCTATCTATCTATCTATCTATCTATCTATCTATCTATCTATCTATCTATCTATCTATCTATCTATCTATCTTTCTTTCTTTCTTTCTTTCTTTTTTTTCCCTTTCTTTCTTTTCTATCTCTATCTATCATCTTATATATATCTTTCATCTATCTGTCTATCTGTCTATCTTTCTTTTTCTTTCTTTCTTTTCTTTCTTTCTTTTTCTTTCTTTCTTTCTTTCTATATTGTCTATCATCTATTTCTAGTTATATTTATCTATATCTATCTTTCTATCTATATCTATTTATATATTATGCATCATCTATCTATATCTATCTTTCTTTCTTTCTTTCTTTCTATCTCTATTGTCTATCATCTACTTTAGTTATATTTATCTATCTATATCTTTCTATCTATCTATAACTATATCGATCTATATCTATCTTTCTATCTATATCTATTTATATCTATTCTATCATTTATCTCTATCTATCTATCTATCTATCTATCTATCTATCTATCTATCTATCTATCTATCTATCTATCTATCTATCTATCTATCTATCTATCTATCTATCTAATTATCTATCTATCTATTTATCTATTTATCCAAACCTGGGATTTCTTGGTGGTCTCTTGTCTAGTGATTTATCAGTCCCGATCTTAAGATAGCCCTTTAAGCAGCAGCCTAAGTCTTCCGGACTCGGACCTCGATTCAACGGGTTCCCCATCCTAATACTTGCCTTGCCGACAAAATTCAAGTCGTTGGTGAAATTTCCCTCGTAGACAGAGCCGTCCTCTAGAAGGAGGATCCCGGATCCCTTCCGGATCAAGAGAGAAAAAGAGAAAGGAGGAACCGTTGGTGGAAAGCGGGATTGAAAAATCAAGTAAATAAATAAATATTAGTGTTAGTTTTTATAGTCCTTTTTTAAAAAAAAGAATCCTTACCACCGTTTTATGCAGGTGAAACTTCCTCTGGAAGCAGAGCCCGGACTGCGTCACCACAATCCCTGGTCCGTGCCGCTGGTCGTTTTCCCACATCCCTATGTACCTCTCGCCTCTGACATCCGGCAAGCCAGGAATGAATTGAAATTGAATAACTAAATTAAATTTAAATTTACATTTCATTAAGTTTACATTAAATTCAACCTCAAGTATTCTTGGTGGTTCCTTGCTTCAGCTGTTGTTCACCAACCAGACTATTCCCACCAAGACAGATAGGGGGAGCCACTAGTACATGCATAGACAGCAAAACCCACATCCTTCAAACACTGATGATGTTACCTAGTTGGGTCATGAGAGGTCTGCAAGGAAACAACCAAGTTGAAAGAGCACCAAGGACTTCATAGTCCTCCTCTTCCTCCTCCCTCCAGTCCTCCTCCTCCTCCTCCTCCTCCTCCTCCTCCTNCCCCCCCTCCCCCTCCTCCTCTCCACAACATCCCCTTCTACCACTGATGATGTCACCCAGTTGGGTCACGAAACATCTGCAAGGAAACCACCCAGCTCAGAGAGCACCAAGGACCCTACACTTTATTTACTCACGAGATGCAAGCTGTCTTACCTCTCCTTATCATCCCAGACGCCATAACCCGTTTTCTTGTCCTTCGTCCAGTGTCCTGTGTATTTAAATGGATGTCCGGTACTCGGGGGACTATCCAAGATGCCAAAGCCTTCCCGCACGTTGTCCTTGAAATACCCCTTGTAGACCATCTCATTGCCGTATCTGAAAAATAACAAAGACCTCTTCAACGGAGAGCGGATTTTAACAGGCGGTCCTTGACTTATGACCACAACCGGGACCAGATTTCGTGTTGCAAAGTGGTTGTTAAGTGAGTCACACCCAATTTTGCACCATTTTTGCCCCAATTCTTCGGAGGTCATCTAGTCCAACCCCCTGCTGGTGCGGGAGACCCTTACAGAATTATGGAATAGCAGAGTTGGAAGAGGCCTTGGAGGTCAGGCAGGAGACCCTTACAGAATCATAGAATGACAGAGTTGGAAGGGACCTTGGAGGTCCTCTAGTTCAACCCCTGCTCAAGCTGGAGACCCTTACAGGATCATGGAATAGCAGAGTTGGAAGGGGCCTTGGAGGTCATCTAGTCCAGCCCCCTGCTCAGGCAGGAGACCCTTACAGAATCATGGAATAGCAGAGTTGGAAGGTCCCTTGGAGGTCATCTAGTCCAGCCCCCTGCTCAGGCAGGAGACCATTTCAGGCAAACTTACTCGCAGATACCGTAGCCGTTCATCTGACCGTCCCTCCAGTGGCATTTGTAGCAGTCGTAGTGGTCATTGGATTCTTGAGGGATCAAGCAGATCCCAAACCTGAAACCCAGAAGAGAAGATGTTAGAGAGAAATGCTGGCATTGACTTAATTATAGTGAGGAAATCTCGTTATTCTGGAATTGGGAAAAGCCCTTAAGGTCATCCAGACCAACCCACTTCGAATAGGCACCCAATTAAAGCATTCTCAATGCTCCACCACATCCAGTACAGGCAATCCTTGACTTACGACCACAATTGAGCCCAAAATTTCTGTTGCTAAGTGAGAAAGTTGTTAAGTGAGTTGTGCTCCATTTTACGACCGTGCTCGCCACCGTTGTTAAGTGAATCACTGCAGATGTTAAGCTAGTAACAAGGTTGTTGAGTAAAATCTGGCTCCCCCATTGACTTTGCTTAGGTCAGAAGGTTGCAAAAGAGGATCACTTGAACCCGGGACACTGCGACCGTCATAAATACGAACCATTTGCCAAGTGTCTGAATTTTGATCATTGCAACGGTCACAAATGAGACGACTGGTTGTAAGTCACTTTTCTCAGCACTGTCGTAACTTCGAATGGTCATTAAATGGATGGCCGTAAGTCGAGAACTAGCTGTATGTAAGCGCGGAAGAATTCCAAAAACAGATTTGCAGACGAAGTCAATTCCGAGGCCAGCATCAGTGCTGCTTTTCCTGGCACCGTCCAGAGGCAGTTTAATTCTGTCTTAATTTAGTGGGATTTATCTTTTTTCACCTCCTGGTCTTGTCTCTTTCATCCAGGGTTTCCTGGTGGTCTCCCATCCAAAGCCCGATTTGGCCCAAACCTGCTTAGCTGCCAAACCCGTCACAAAGTCAGGTGGATTTTAGGCCTGGATCTACCCAACAGACAAATCTGGGCATTGCATGCTGGGCTTGAGAGAGACCAAACAACCTGCCACTCAAAATAGTCCCCCCGTAAGTCAGCAATTCACCAGGTAAAGCTGCTTACCCATTTTCTAAGCCTTTCTTGAAATCTCCAGCATAATTCTGGCCATTGGGCCACGTCAGCTTCCCTCTGCAAAGAGAAGAGACCGATTAAAGCCATGAATTAAATCTGAGCCATTATAAGATGTTTCCAGCCGTCTGGCGAAGGGACTTACTTTCCATGGGGCTTCCCCAGGCACCACTCTCCCTCGTAGGTGGCGCTCCTGAACCGCCCTTCGGTCCTGAATGCGAAAGTGGCACAGCGGCAGAGAGGGGGGTCGAAGCCTTTACCCATGTCGCCCCACAAGGGGACGTCCCTCTTGTCCTGCAAGGCCTGGCCCACCGCCCGGTTGATCTTCCACTGCCACACCGCCTAGAGAGGGGGATAGAAGAAGGGCGACAAATTGATTTTAGAAAGAAAAATAAAGAAAGAGAGAGAGAGAGAGAGAGAGCAGAGAGAGAGAAAGGAAAGGAAAGAAAGAAAGAAGAAGAAGAAGAAGAAGAAGAAGAAGAAGAAGAAGAAGAAGAAGAAGAAGAAGAAGAAGAAGAAGAAGAAAGAAAGAAAGAAAGAAAGAAAGAAAGAAAGAAAGAAAGAAAGAAAGAAAGAAAGAAAGAAAGAAAGAAAGAAAGAAAGAAAGAAAGA